GCAGCATCATCATCATAATCATCAGCATCAGCATCATCATCATCCTTATCATCATCCCCATCATCACCATCATCATCATCATCAACATAATCAGTATCGGTATCACCATCAGCATCATCATAAGCGACGACATCAGCATCATCATCAGCATCATCATCACTCACCAACATCATCACGACCACCATCATCATCATCATCATCATCATCATCATCATCATCATCACTCACTCACCGTAATCGTCATCGTCATCATCGTCATCAGCATCATCAGCATCATCATCAGCATCAGCATGATCCTCATGGGCATCATCACAATCATTATCGTCATCATCAGCATCAGCATCAGCAGCAGCATCATCATCGCCATCATCACCAGCATCGTCGTCATTATCAGCATCAGCATCAGCAGCGGCGTCATCATCACCATCATCACCATCGCCACCATCTGCAATACCCCATACACTATCAACCATCCAAAATCCATCAGCGTCACCATCATCCACATCTGCATCAGCATCAGCAGCATCATCATCATCATCATCATCATCATCATCATCATCATCATCATCATCATCATCATCATCATCATCATCCGTATCATCATCCCCATCATCAGCATCATCATCCTCATTAACATAATCAGTATCGGTATCACCATCAGCATCATCATAAGCGACGACATCAGCATCATCATCAGCATCATCATCACTCACCAACATCATCACGACCATCATCATCATCATCATCATCATCATCATCACTCACTCAACGTAATCGTCATCGTCATCATCGTCATCAGCATCATCAGCATCATCATCAGCATCAGCATGATCCTCATGGGCATCATCACAATCATCATCGTCATCATCAGCATCAGCATCAGCAGCAGCATCATCATCGCCATCATCACCAGCATCGTCGTCATTATCAGCATCAGCATCAGCAGCGGCGTCATCATCGCCATCATCACCATCGCCACCATCTGCAATACCCCATATACTATCAACCATCCAAAATCCATCAGCGTCACCATCATCCACATCTGCATCAGCATCAGCATCATCATCATCATCAGCAGCAGCAGCATCACCACCACAATTACCACCATCCAACATCCTCGTCCTCCCACTGGTCCTCACCTAAAAAGGTACGGTTCACCAAAAGTTGAATGGGGCGTGTTCTGGCGCCGTCAACTGTATCCTCATCCTCATCCTGGTTATCCTCCTCGTGATCATCCGCAACATACAACATCATGCTTATCCTTAATCCTATTAATATACCCGTAATCCTGTGTTCCTCCTCTCTCTTCTCCCTCCCCCTCCCCCTCCCTTCCCTCCTCTCTCTCCTCCCTCCCCCTCCTCCTCCCTCCCGCTCCTACCTCCCCCTCCTCATCCTCTCTCCTCCCTCCCTTCCCTCCCCCTCCTCCTCCTCCTGATAGCTTGTCCGCCACATCCTCTCTTCCTCACCCAAAGCTTCCCCGGGGCCCCCCTGGCCTCTCCAGGGCCCGCTGGAGCTTCCCAGGGCGGCGAGAATGCCAAAAACCTTCTAAAGCCTGAGGAAGTTCAGTGACTTTGGCTTCTTGGGGCCTTCTTGGGAGGCATCTTCAAGGCTTCGTGGGCCGTCTTGGGGGCCTCTGGGGCCGTCTTGGGGCCATCTTGCGCGCCTTGAGGCGATCTTTCGGCGACTCGGGGATCTCTCCCTCGGGCCCCCCAAAACCCTCCGGGGCCCCGAGCCCCCCGGGACCCACCCGGGCCGCCCAGGGCCCGCCAGGCCTCCCCGGTGCCCCGCCCGGCCCCCCCAGGGCCCCCCCCCAGGGCGGGTCGGGCCCCCCCAGGGCGGGTCCAGGCCCCCGTCGCAGCGGGTCCGCGCGGGTCCAGCTTCCCCTCGAGGCGAATAGAGGGAGCCAACCTTACGGGCGGGCCGAGTCGGGCGGGCGGGGCATTGAAATGTGGAGTAGAACACGCTGCATCGTCCGGCTGGCTGGCGAGAGTCCCAACGGCCAGGCCTGGTCGGGCGGGCCGGGCCCTCACAGGGGGGTCGGGTCGGGCGACGGGACATGAAAGTATGGAACCAAGTATGCTGCGTCGTCCGGCTGGCACGCGAGTGCCGCAACGCTAGGGAGAGGCTCAAAGGGTAGGCCTAGGGTTAGGCCTGAGGGGTAGGCCTAAGGTAGGCCTAGGGGTAACCCCAGGGGTAGGACTAGGGTAGGGCTAGGGGTAGGCCCTAAGGATAGGCCTAGGGGTAGGCCTCAGGGTAGGCACCAAGGGTAGGCCTAGGGGTAGGCCTGAGGGTAGGCCCTAGGGGTAGGCTTAGGGTAGGCCTAGGGTAGGCCCTAGGGTTGGGCCTAGGGTAAGCATAGAGGCCGAGGGTAGGCCTAGGGGCAAGCCCTAATGGTAAGCACTAAAGGTAGGCCCAGGGGTAGCCCCTAAGGGTAGGCCCTATTGGTAGGCCTGGGGTTGGCCTATCCTGCGGGGCGTGTCCGGACCTAGGAATGGACCAAGAGCAACTTCGTCTGAGGGAGGGATCCATGCAACCAAGACGAAGGCAGGGGAGGCGACTGGCCTCTTCCCTCAGCCACGAGCGCAAGTGCCAGGGTGCTGCCAGTGGATGCTTGGCACCTGATCGCTCGCAGCCCAGAGGCTCAGTTGGCTTCGCACGACCCCTGGCTAAGCGCCCCCTCCCTCTGCGCCTTGGCAGCCTGCCTGCGCTAAAGCCACCACCGCGGGGATCCCTTCTTGAACGGGCCCATCCTGCTGCAATGTTTGCTCTTGCCTTTGCTGCCGCCCCTGCCTCTGCCCTGTGGCCTGGCCTTGGGGGGGGGGGGCTCGGGGACAACCGTACCCCCCGGGCCCGCCCGGGTCGAGTCCTCGGCCCCCCGCAGGGCGACCTCCTCCCCCACATCCTTCTCGCCTTACTGTAGGAGGCGGCTGGCAGGACTGGCAGGATCGAACAGGGCCTCTCTCGCGGGGCCCTGTCGCCGGCCCTCCCCCTTGGGGAGCCTGGGCCACCCGCACACGTCGAGGGCTGAAACTCGAACTCCCCAGCCCAGCGCCGAGAGAGGGTGGAGGAAGCGCCGCGCTGGGCAGGGCGGCCACGGCCGCGTGCGCGGGGCGGAAGGCACCTGGGTCTGAACCCGGACAGCTTCGTCGAGGCTCAGACAGCGGAGGAACGTGCGCACTGAAACTCGACGCCGAAGACCGGCACATACACATACACCTGCATACAAAACGAGCAGATACAAGTGAGAGGGAGAGAACGAAGAAAGGGGAAGACGAATGCGAATACACGAAGAATGAGAATGATAAGCATACGAATTCTAGTAAAAATACGCACAATAATAACAGTACTAATCAAAATACTACGAATAATACTGATAAAACCACAACTGGATATAATAGTAATAATGATACTCATGATACGAGTAATAATAATACTTAATACTAACTGTCATACGAGTAGTGATTAAATAATAATATTCAAAAGAATAATAATGATCATGAAGAAGGAAATAAGAAAAAAAAGAAGGATGTATAACAGAAGAAGAAGAGGAAGACGCACAGAGAGCCCAGCAGGTTCACTGACGCGGGGGCAAAGAGGCGGAGGTGCGGAGGGAAACGGGGAGGCACGGAGACACGGGGCCTCCGCCGACGAGAGCGGGAGGCGAGGGAGGGAGGGCGGCAGGCGGCAGGGGGAGGCCAGGAAGACGCTCGGGCTGGAGAGATATCGGCGGAGCTGGGGACACGGGGGAGAAGAGGCGGGCCGGCGACGCGACGACGAGAGGGCAAGTGCAAGGGGGGCGGGCCGTCCCAGCAGGCGGCGAGGCCTCTCGGAGTCCCTGCGGCCCTGCGCACAGCCCGCTGCGGCTGCAGGGGAGGCCCAGAGAGAGCTTCTCGGGAGGCCGGAGCGCAGCCCAATTAGCGGAGGCCGTGAGCGTGTCCGGCGCCGCGGCCGCTGCGCGGCGCGGGCCCCCGGGGCTCTCGACCCGGGCCCCGAGGCCTGGTCTTCGCCTGCGGGTCGTCTTCTGGCGGCCCCCGGGGCCCGAGATCGCGTCCCGCCCCCCCCCCCCTCGGCGCTGGACAAACCTCCCGTTAGTAGACCTCCCCTTAGTGAAAACGGCCTGGGACCGAAACCGATGGACCTGGACCCGCAAAAATGACGGCCGCGACGCCCTCCCGCGAACCGAAAACGGAGGTCTGTCCAGCCCCCCCCCCCCCCCGCGACGCTGAAATTGCCTGGACCACTCTCTTTATCCCGCAGCACTGGAGAACGCGAGCGCGCGGGGCGGTGCCAAGCGGGGCGTGGCGGGCGCGGGGCGCGTAGGGTTGACAAGAGTTGCCTCTAAACATGTTGTTGTTGTGTTGCTTCCTCCTCCTCCTCCTCCTCCTCCTCCTCCTCCTCCTCCTCCTCCTCCTCCTCCTCCTCCTCCTCCTCCTCCTCCTCCCCCAGGCCCCAGCCCTCCTGCTGCTGCGGGGGGGCTGGGGCCCGTGGGAGCGATCCCGAGAGCGGCGGAGGCACAGAGCGGCCACACGGAGACGCTCGGGAATCTGGGCGCCGCGGGTATCCACGGCGTGGCGCGGCGCCAGCGCACGCGTATCGCTGCCCGTGGCCCGGCGGAGCCAAAGGGGGCCCTCGATGGTACTCATGTCGCCCTCGAGAGGGGGAGGGCGAGGAATCGGGAGCGGCCAAGAGGGGGGTGTCCAAGAGGGGGGGGTGCAAATCATGACCGGCGGCACGTGCGCGGGCCAGCGGGGGGCCAGGGACGTAAAGAAATAAGAAGAGGCGCCATGAAATCTGGGGAAATATCATGGCCAACGCCATGATATCCACCCCCCCTAGTCATCACCCCCCTCTTTTCCGCCCCCGAAGGAAGGGGGGAGGAGGAGGAAGGGAAGGCCGTGGCGCCGAACGACAGGGCGAGCAGACCCGTCGAGCACGGAGGGCGGGGGGGGAGCGCGGGAGGCGGAGCACGAAGAGCGGCCCGCCTGCTTCTTTTTCAAGGCCTCGCGGGACAGCGTGCAGCGCGGGCACGAGGAGGAAGGGAAGAGAGGGATCAGGGAGGGAGGGACCAGGAAGGGGCCAGGGAGAGGAAGGAGGTAGGAAGGAAGAAGAACGAGAGAGCAGGGTTGCATATGCTGCGAACGCCCCAGAATACTATTGTGGCTCACTGTTTTCCTAGATTACCATTTGCAGAATATCCTTATCCCATTCCCCCTTCCCCAGCTCCTTCTCTCCATCCCGTGTATTTTCCTGCCGATGCCTCATCGCTGGGCCCCCTGACGCTTATTCCTCGTGTGGTCAGAAGTGCGCGGCGAGTGCAGTGTCGGCTGCCCTCCCGCTTGGGGTGGAGGATGGCGCGCCTGGCCGACCGTGCTGCGAGCGATGCCCCCGTTTCGGCACGGGGCCTCCGGGCACGCACTATACTCCGCCCCAGACCCAAGGCCCAGCCATGCCGCACCGCACGAACCGCTGGCAGGGCCCAGCGACCGGGAGGCGGGGAACACACCACGGCCTCCTCCTCCTCCTCCTCCTCCTCCTCCTCCTCTTCCTCCTCCTTCTCCTCCTCCTCCTCCCCCTCCTCCTCCTCCTCCTGAGGCCTCGCATGAATGGCTGTGTGCTGACAGCATCGGGCAGGCAGCTCCGGCGGGTGGCTCGGAGCCTGGAGGCTCGATTGTCGGATCATGTGGGTCCGAGCGGGTAGCTCCAAGCTGCGGCTCACGCAACTCTGAGGCGTAATTCCCAGCAGATAGCTCTGCGCCTGAAGCTTTCGCGAACGCCGGCGCGGACCACCCCCGGCCACTTTTTTCGACTGGGCGGGCCAGGTGGGTGTTGAAAGCAGGGCATGCTTGACGCTCGGTCCGACATGTACACGCACGGAGCAGGTCGACGGCGCTGCGCCTTTCGAAAGCTCCAGCTCTGCCGCATCCCGACCGGCCTCTTTCGGGAAGCACGTCAGGTTACCACAGCCCGTGTTCCGCCCTGCCTCTGCGGCGGGAAGGGCTCAAAGTTGTACCGCTGACTGGTTCGACGTGGACTCTGCTCCCAGAGGGAACACGCGACATCATGCCAGGTCTTTCTCTCAGCTTCAAAATGCCCCCGATGCTTTTGAAAGAAACATGCGCCCCACCCTGCCATGCCTGACAATCGCAAACCATTGCCTGTCAATTCACGCATCCACCTCCTCGCTCACCATCCATCTTTCCCTCCCCCCCGTCCGCTCCACGCCCCGTCCTCCTCGCCGCGTCACGCTCCGCTCCTCCTCGGCCGTTTCTCAACCCATCCGCTGCTCGCCCCGTTCCCTCCCCCCCCTCGCCCTACTCCTCTCTCCTCCTCTCCTCCTCTCTCCTCCTCTCTCCTACTGCTCCTCCTCATCATCCTCATCCGTTTCCTTCATCCTCCTCCTCCGCCTCCTCTTCCTCGTCCTCGTCCTCATTCTCATCCTTTTCCTCCTCCTCCTCATCATCATCCTCCTTGTCCGCCTCCTCCTCCTCCTCCTCCTCCTCTTCCTCCTCCTCCTCGTCTTCCTCCTCCTCCTCCTCCAACACCTCATCGTTATTATAGATTGTATCCTCATCATCATCCTCGTCCTCGTCCTCGTCCTCGTCATCATCATCATCATCATCATCATCATCATCATCATCATCATCATCATCATCATCATCATCATCATCATCATCATCATCATCATCATCATCATCATCATCATCATCATCATCAGCATCATCATCATCATCATCATCATCATCATCATCATCATCATCATCATCATCATCATCATCATCATCATCATCATCATCATCATCATCATCATCATCATCATCATCATCATCATCATCATCATCATCATCATCATCATCAGCATCATCATCATCATCATCATCTCATCATCATCATCATCATCATCATCATCATCATCATCATCAGCAGCATCACCATCATCGCATCACATCATCATCATCATCATCATCATCATCATCATCAGCAGCATCATCATCATCATCATCATCATCATCATCAGCAGCATCATCATCATCATCATCATCATCATCATCATCATCATCATCATCATCATCATCATCATCATCATCATCATCATCATCATCATCATCATCATCATCATCATCATCATCATCATCATCATCATCATCATCATCATCATCATCATCATCATCATCATCATCATCATCATCCGTAGCCAGTTTGGCTCAAGGAGCCACGCCAGTGTGGCAGCGGTTTCCCCGTTCGAGCTTTGCGCTGTTCGGGCTATTTCCTCCTCAGTTGGCCCATTCGAGCCCCGCGCTGTTCGGGCATTCATGGCAGTCGCGGCGCTGGACGCTGCTGCCGCCCTGGCGCCGCTGGTTCGAGCGGCAGCCGAAGGCGCGGCAGCCGGGGCGCTGCGAGGCACGGCATCGCGGTCGCCGTGGCCGCCGCGGCGCGCGTCGGAGCTGAGCTGATCGGGGGCTGGGCTGCAGATGGAGCTGGCGATGAGGAGGACGCCGAGCTCGCTCTGCGGCTTCGGACCATCAGGCCAGCCCTGGCGCGCCTGATCCGCGGCGAGAGGGCTTCGGGCGCCGAGCGGGCGACGCGGAACCTCGGGGCCCACGCCTTCCTCGGTGAAGGCGCCGAGGTCCTCGAGGCCGCGCTCGAGCGGCCGCAGGCCAGCCAGCGCCGTGGGCGGTCTGGCGCCCTCGCCCCAAAGGATCTGGGGGCTCTAAGCCGTCCTCCCCCTGAGGCGGGATGGCGACCCAGCCTGGAGGCGAGGCGCCGCAACATGGCGCCGCCCACAGACGAGTGCGGCTACAACGGCGATGCGAAGAACGACGATGACGGGCACCAGCAGCACGTGGACGAGCAGCAGCACGTGCATCTGCACAACCAGTACGAGATCGAGTACGGCGTCGGCGACGACGAGCTCGAGGGCTACGACAGCGATCGCGGGCCCAATGAGGTCAGGTTCGAGTCCAAGCCCGAGCTCGGCGAGTGCGCTGGCGACGGAGCGCAGGACGATGATTCCAGGCACGTCGACGACGACACCCTCGGCGACGCCTGCACGGGCGAGGACGGTCTCGGCTCGGGCGAGGTGCAGGCGCCCCTTGGCACCCAGCACGACGAGCCGAGCGGAGTGCAGGACGAGGGCGAGTACGAGGAGTGCACGGACGCGAACCTGGGCGCTGGCGTTGGCGCGGCGTCGAGCCCCGCCAAACCAGAGTCGGTTCGGCGGCGGCGGAGGCGCGGCCGTCGGCCCACGAGGGAAGGACCGACGGCGTCGGCCGCCGAACCGGCGAGCGCACGGGCACTCAAGGCGACGGAGGCAGCCGAGCCCGCCACGTGCACAGCGTGGAGAACGGCTGCGAGGCGGGGGAGGGCCGCGACCCGCGGCACTGCCTTGGTCCTGGCGGATCGTGTGCGGTCGGCGCCTGAGGCGGTTCCTCCACCCCTCGCCTCTGGCGCGCAGTGGTGGCAGTGGAGGCTCGAGGAGCTCGGGCGGGATGGCGGCCCGAAGGCAACCAGCGCCTGCCCGCCGACCACGGCGGTGAAGGGGGTGGAGTGCGAGAGGGACTCGGCCGATGATGATGAGGCTGCAGATGATGAGCCTCTTGGCAGCGACCCGTCGGAGTACGCTGTCAAGCACGACAGGCGCATGCAGCCAGGTGTTGCACAGCAGGACCTCCAAGAGAAGGTCGGGATCGTCTCTGCGGGTCCCACGAGGGAGGTGCACTTCGAGGAGGAGTGCACGTGGGCGTACTTCCAGCGTGTCCAGGAGCAGGAGTCGGAGGCCCAGGACAAGGCTGCATCGGAGCCCGCTCTCGCCGAGACGCCGATGCGCGTGGACACCCAGGCGGTCTCCGAGCAGCAGTCCGCCGTCCCCCAGCAGCGCGGCTCCGAGCAGCCCGAGGAGCAGCAGCATTTCCCTTCGGAGCGGGCGGGCTCGTGGCGCTGAGGGCCAGATACAACGGGCTGCTGGCTGGGGTTCGCGCCGTCTTGGGCGCCAAGCTGCGCGCAGCCCGCGAGGCGCGCGGCAGGCGCTGACGGGCGCGATCTGTCCCGACAACTTTCTCACATTTCTTCTGCCGCGCTCGCGCGGCATCTGCCTTAATGTAGTTGCGGCACCCTGCGGCTCGGGACCCATCGGTCTGCCGAGCGCGGTGCCGTGTGCTCGTGGCGCCAGGCGGGTCCGAGGATCACGAATGCCTGCGACGAGCTTGCGAGCTTCGAGGGGAGAGGGACCCCGTAGCGTAGGCCGTACCCCTCGGGGCTCGGCACACGTCAGGGTTCACTCACTCCTGCCCCTCCTGGGCTCGCTGCGCTGCTCTGTCCGTGCCGTTTGGCACGTCAAGTGGCGCTTGCGTTCTGCAGCCTTGCTGCGTACCAGCCCGCCTGTCCTGTGCACTGTTCTCGCGCCAGGGCGGAGGCCGAACCGAGGGGGTAGGTGGCTTGCTACCGACTCTCTGGATCGCCTCCGAACGCCATCGCAGAGCAAGGTTGTCCTGTGGGCGGCCAGGTGCCATGGGGACTGTGTTGCTCTGCTTTGGCGCGTGTGTGCTGCTGTAGCGGGCTGAGTCGCCGTGACTGCTCGGATGCCGTACCACCGCTTGCTTCGGCTGGGGCGGTGGGCGGCCTCTTGGCACTCAGGTGAATCTGCGAGGGTGCGCTGAGGCGCACGTGACCGAGCGTTGCCGCCGCAGGGCCAGAGGGAAACGCGTCGGTCCGAGGGACAGTACGAGCTAGGAGCTCCTGACGTCTTTAGACGCGTGGATCCTCATCATCATCATCATCATCATCATCATCATCATCATCATCATCATCATCATCATCATCATCATCATCATCGTCGTCGTCGTCATCATCATCGTCATCATCATCAGCATCATCATCATCACCACAACCACCACCATCATCATCACCACCACCACCATCACCACCACTACCACCGTCATCATCATCATCAGCATCATCATCATCATCATCATCATCCTCATCATCATAATCCTCATCATCATCC